GACTCTCCTAGTTGACAGTTTCAGCTGGTAAATTTCGCCTGTCTGGCCTCACCAGAACTGGCAACTTTGTACTTAGGGACAAGAATACAATTTCTTTCTTTACAAAAAGAAACAGCTGGGGCAGTGGAAAGATTACTAAATTAGGACTTCACAGTTTTCTTCACATTACTTACTCAGTTGTACAACTATATTAGTCAGAATAGGCTATTATGATATGGAAACAAATTAACCAGGAAATCCAGTGACTTAACACACCACAAGACCACTTCTCACTTATGTGCATGTCCAACAGGAGTAGGTAGGGTGATTCTGCTCTTCAAGTCTCCCAGGGACTCGGTCTGATGGAGGCTCCAGCATCCTGGGTACCACTGGTTACCACAGAACAAAGGGGAAGGAGACTAGAGAACCTCACCTCAGTTTCCCCTTCCTCATCGAGAAATGACACTGGTCACTTTCACACACATTTCAGGGCCATAAATATCACATGGCCTCAATTAATCACAGGGGCTGGGAAATACAGGAGAACAAATAGAGTATCTGGTGAGTATTATCATCTCTGTTACATGTAACCATTGGTAAATTATTTTACTTATCTCAGTCTTAGTTATGCATCTGTAACAGGAGGCTATTAGTGGCCCTTCCTCTCACTAAAGGCTCTGGGAAGAATCGAATGAGATAACAGATGTGTAAGAACTCTGATGAGCTCTAAGAGTCACACAAATTTAAAAGCATCACAGTACCCATACCACAGTGGAGTCACTATGCCACACCTCCCCCCACACACACCCTGCCTATTTATTTTAGAGGTGGTGGAATCAAGAGTAAGATGTTGCTTTCATTTTCACTGCTGCATTCAGCCAATCCACTTATACTCAAGGCTAACCCAGGAAAGATAAATGGGAAAACAACACTTACTCCCCTCAATCTCTTCCAAGTAATTTTTCAGTCTTGAAATGATTAAAGTAGGTGTGGCAGGTTTGACTTTCCAGAGATGGCTGCAGTAGTCTCCCCCATCCCTTATACTCTTGTAATGTCACCTTAACAGCCTTCTCACCAAGCTTGGGTCTATATACTCTTCCCTTGAATTCAGGGAACCTTGGCGGCTACTCCAACCAACTGACAGAGTATAGCAGAGGTGACATGTGAATTCCAAGACAAGTCATAAAAACACCATGCCCTTCTCTTGCTCCCTAGGGAAGCCCACACTTAGGACATAGCCTGCCACGTTGTGAAGAAGCCCAAATGTGCCTGCACAGAAAAACTCCACAAACGGGTCACAGATGTATGTGTTCCAACAGCCACCAAGTTGAGGAACCAGCTGACAGCCCGCATCGCTTCTCAGGCTTCCCGCCCCAAGCCAGCAAGGCAGAGCCTGGCCTTCTGATCTTCTCAGCTGGGCCCAGATACTGTGTAGCAGACAGAAGCTGTCCCCTCCAGGCTCCATCCAAATTCCTGTCCCACAGCATGTGTAGGCATAATACAACAACCATTTTACACCACTCAGTTTTGGGGTGACTTTTTATGCTACAGCTGAATTCGTTAGCACCTGTAATATTAGCTTAATCACACAGAGAAAGGGGCAAATATGGGTTTACTGAACCATTACATCTCGAATACTACGCTAATGCAAACAATTATGGGGGATGCCAAATTCCTTGTATTGATAAGAATTCAGTTAGGCTGTAGCAACAGAAAAGCCAAAATGATAATAACAACCTAAACAAGACCGAAGTTTGTTTCTCACTTAAAAATTCACATAGGCAGTTCAGGGCTACTAGCCCCATCGGAGGGAACTCAGCCAATCTCTATACCTTATTTCTCTATTACTCATAAAACAAGGTTTCCACCCCATAGTCCAAGACAGACATTCAAGCTCAGTCTGTCTACATTTCAGTAGCAGGCAGCTAGCAGGAATGTAAAGAGGGGAAGGGGTGGGTTTGCCCCTCCTTGTAAGAATACTTTCTGGAAGTGTATCTATTAGCCAGAACTGAGTCCCGTGGCCACACCAAGATTCTGCAAGAAACCTGGGAAAAGCTGTCTTTGTTGTCATGTCCCAGCTAGTAAGTGGGAAACTCGTAGAAGAGAAAAATGGGGAAAGAAAAGTGGTAGCTTCTGCCACATGAATATTCCAGAACTCAATTCACATCTGGTTTAGGATTGCAGGTTCAAATAACATGATTACCTCTAGAACTATACCAATGTGTCAGGTCAGGCTGTCAACTCTAAAGATTTGGATCAGGCTTTCAGGTTAAATAAAAACATCTTTACGCAGTAACAACTCTCCCGATCAGATGAGTATAAGTAAAATGGCAAACAAGCACTTAATAAATGAATGATTCCTAAGAAAGGAAAAGACATTTCAAAACCAGTATTTTCTCTACAACAGTAATACATTCTGATGGGTCTTCCTGTAATCTGTGTTTCCCTGGGCACTCAGTAAAAGAAGTTCCATTTCATGATCTGTAAATACGTATCACACATAATTGGTTTGTCATGAGGATGAAATGAGATTACACATGTCAAAGTGCTTTGTAAACAATAGTGTTTTATACAAATATAAAGTTAGGCACCTTCAAGCTATCACTCCAATAAAGTCACCTATTCATTCAAACTGAACGTCTTTTCAAAATTTTTAACAATGTATAAATACATTCACAAAATAATCTATTGATTAAAAGACTTCAACAAAGTTTACAATATCTACAAGAGAACTTACAGATGCCTACAACAGTTTGTAGATTACAAATATTGCTTTGTCTTAAGAAATACCATTAATACAAATGCTTGATTTACAATATCCACCTTACAGCAAGAAATTGATTCATAAAATTAAATGTCTTTGAGGCATTTATTATGCCAAGTATTTAAATGATTATTCTCACTATGACATAAGAATAATACTTTTTTTAGTGGCAAAAGATAGATTTCATTAGGTCAAAGACCACTGAAGAGCTTCCAAGGAGATCCAAGTAAAATCTGGCCATGTCCGAAAAATAAAGAGCAGCAGCAATCTCTAAGTATCCCTTAAACATAAAGAAAATTCCATTTACATCCATTGGGCCTCAGGTATATGATTTGTTACAAATAAAAATAAACAGAATTTTAGAAACTCGTTAATATCACTGGCCCAAATTTGGTTTTTCCTACCTGTGAATGCCTAGGATAAGTTTCATCATGAAGTATATCTTTTAAGTTGCAAAATTAACAATAATTTCTAACTTACACATAGGCCAAAGTGCTCACTCTTAACCACAGAAGCAAAACTTTATGAAAATAATCTACAAAAATAAATGTAAACATAAGAGTTTTGAGACAGACTAAGAATATCCTTTTATGTTCTATTGATCAAAACACAAAGGTCTCCATTACATATGCACATGAACACCCTTTCATTAATTTGGGATATACGGACATGACATGACTATGTGCAAACACATGTAAAACGAACAAATTTTGACAATGTTTCGAGCAACACAATACTTTTAAGCCCCAAGTGTTAAAAGAAAAAAAATTAATGTGAAAACTACTTTTCCTTAAAGTAAATTTTAAAATGGAAAAACAAACCAAGCACTCCTCTTTGTGACATGTACTGTGCTCTAAAAGGTTCAGAGTCAGGTCTTCAGCAGTCCCCCGATTTAACAGACCATGTAAGCTTTTGCTTGCTCTTCAGGAAGTCTGATCATCTCCAGTGCTCTGCGAGAGAAAGAACTCCTTAGTACTGAAATCTATTTTCATAACCTACCCAACTTCAAAGCACTAGAAAAACACTTATTTGTAGTATTTATTGTAATGTATGTAAGCAGAGCCAGTTACTACATTACCTTACATTCAATGTTAAAAATTAACAATGTATATAACATTCCTCACCCAACCTACTGCACTAAACAAAGGTGCGGCATCCCTCATACAAAGACCTAGTCAGTTTTCCCAAGAGACGAGATCAACAATTTACTTATGATTACTTACCCACTGAAAACCCTGATTTAAATATTTTATTAGGTAACTATTGTAAATCCTGCATTTTCTTTAAAAAAAAAAATCTGAGTACTTTAAAAATCTTACAAGATATAGTCTTACTATATTTCTACTTGTTCTTACTACACAATATACATTCTTCAAAACTGTTCATTTAGAGCCACCAGAACTATTGGAAAGCAACTGAACTTAAGGTAATTTCTTTTAAATAAGTTGTTTAAAATAAGTCTTAAAATAAAATATGAATGGTAGTTTACCCCTCTGGTCTTACAAGTTTCAGGACACTGACAATACATTTATGAAATGCCTGCTGTGATATGATGAATCATAAGAAATACGTATTTGGTCATTGATATAACCAAATTTCCCAGGTATACTTGGTCTTCATCCACAGTTCCTGAAAACACTTCAGAGCCTTAAAGGTGAAATGGGTGTCTTGTCATGTTAATGAGACTTTTGGACCCCACCCAAGGGCAGAGGCTGGAGGCTGAATTAGCCAATGGCCAATAATTTAGTCAGTCATGACTATGCAATGAAGCCCTCACAAAACCCAAGAGAAGAGGTCGCGGGCACTCTCTGCTTTGCTCTGCCTGCTCTGCTCGGTTGGATCCTGCTTCTTGGTCGGAGAGCTTCTATGCTTGGGGAACAGAACGCCTCCATGTGCGGAGCCGGGCCCTAAGCTCCACGAGAATAGAAGCTCCTTTATTTGGGACCTTGCCCTCTGCATCTCTTCATCTGGCTGTTAACTTGTATCCTTTATCAAACTGGTTGTGAGGTAAAGTTGCAGTATTTCCAGAGTCTCTCACCTGGCCTTAGTCCATTTAAACATCAATAGGTATTTCTTCCCATGGCCTTGGAGATGAGGGGTGGAGAGAGGCTGTTCTCTTCTCCCCTCTGTTGCATAATTGGTCTGACACCTGTCAGTTTCTGGGGATCTGCCAGCAGAGTTTCTCCCAGAAGGGGAGGGTGGAGAGGCGAGCGTGCACACCAGGATAGGAGAGACCAAGAGGTGGCCATATGGGAAGAAAGGAGCCGGGCCTCATTGTGAGCAATAAACAGGTTTCTCCAATCTAGGCTTTCTTTAGACTCACTTTGGTCACACTGGTTTATTCCCCCCACTCCAGGAACACTGTTTCCACCCCGTGTTATGCTGGTAAATGTTAAGTGTTTTCCTGAGCTCTGTGAGCCGCTCTAGCAAATTAATTGAACCTAAGGGGGAGGTCATGAGAACCTCCAATTGGTAGCTGGTAGGTCAGAAGCACAGGTAACTGCCTGGGGCTTGCAACCCACACCTGGAGGGTGGGTAGAGTGGAGGGCAGTCTTGTAGGATCGAACCCATAACCTGGGAAATCTAGTGCTGTCTCTGGGCAGAGAGCATCAGAATTGAGTTGAGTTCCTGCACACCCTGCTGGTTTTCGAGAATTGCTTGGTGTTGTTATGTGTGGGAAGACCTCCTCCCACATACTTACACACACTGGAATCGGGTCCGGGAAGGCGAATGGAGTTACACTACTATTACTGCTGTGTATAATATTGTTATTGATATATATATATATATATGCATGCATGTATGTAGGAAAAGACTACCCCATTGCATTTGGTATCAGACGAGTGGGAATAACAAAGTACTATAAATCTCCAAAGAGTAATTAAAATAACTTTATCTTCATCATCTCATATTTAATTATGTGCCTTAAAAGGTTTTTAAAGTATGACATAAAATTAAACCACAAGAATTAGAAATCATTGCATTAGTCACTGACCACATCAAAATTACCCCCACATCCAGAAAAGACTTACCTGTCTTAAAAACTGCTTCCCAAGGTAAGATGTAGCCATGCTAGTTAAATTCTTTCTGCTGCCCACTTTGCACCTGATGTAACCATACAGGTTGGCACCTTGGAGGACTACACCCATGATAACCACTGCCTGGGGAAGGGAAACAAATATCAATGTTACTGGCGAAAAGTGACTGACCTTGCTGTGTGCCATAAATGAGACAAGGCAGACTGTCATGGGAAAGCAATGCAAAAGGAGGCTCTGTAAAGCAGGCCTGTGCCACTGAGGCTCCTTAACTTGCCAGAATAGACCAACCCAGTGCTGCACATGACACGCCATCATCCACCCAACATATCTTATGAAACACATATGCTACATGCCAGGCCCACACCAGCCCTGGGGGTGCAGTGGAGGAATCCTTCTCTCTTTAGTATTTTCCATGGATCTGTGAAAGGCACTCAGAAGAGACTCAAATGTTAATTATTCCTTTAAGAATTTTCATAAGACAAAAGAATTTCAACTACAGAAGAATGGTGCAGGGACCAGGGATCAAATTCAATTAACTGAGAGCTTACAGAGGTGAATCTGCTGTATGCTAATTTTGGTGTTACAGCTGGTAAACCAGAACCAGGCAGGAGTCCACAGGTGTGGACCTCCTGTGAGGGCACTGGGAGGAAACACACTGGGCAGAGTTGTTTCTTCCTTGTGGCCAAATGACAGACCCTAGAGGTCAGTACACTAAGATCATTAAGGATTGAGAAAAAGAAACTCAAGCCTATTCTTTAAATATTATGGAAGAAAAGTTAATTAGGACAATGTGAGGAGGTCCCATACTTAAATATCCTATAACGGCTTGACAACATTTTTCTGTAAAGGGTCAGATAATTAATATTTGAGGCTTTGCAAATACTCAATTCTGCCATTCTAGCCCAAAAACAGCCAGACAATATGTAAACAAACAGGCAAGGCTGTGTTCCAACAAAAATTTATAAAAACAGGTGCTGGGCCAAATTTGGAAACACTGGTAGAGAAAGACTGGGCTGACATTCCCAGATGGCAGCTAGGGATCCTGGGCCTCACAAATAATGTGAGCAGGAGGGTAGAACCAGGATGGAGCCTATGCCCAGGCAGAAAACAAGAGCTCCGCCACATACGACAAGGGAAAATCCAAGCAGGGCGGCCAAGGTAGCCAGAGGCCAACATCCAAACTAGCTCACAGCAGGACCTAGAGGCCTCGCACAACGTGGGAGGGCAGGCAAGGAGAATTCACCTACACAAACCAGTAAAAAGAGGAGATCTGGGCAGGCAGAGCCAAGATAGCGGCGTGAGTAGAGCAGCAGAAATCTCCTCCCAAAACCACATTTATCTATGAAAATATAACAAAGACAACTCTTCCTAAAATAGAGACCAGAGGACACAGGACAACATCCAGACCACATCCACACCTGCGAGAACCCAGTGCCTCG